GGCTCTCCCCTCCTAGCACGTGACTCCTCCTGCATATCTCTTCACTGCTGTACTCTCATGCTGGCTGACCCACCATCCTCCCCTCTCCGGAGAGGCCATGGAAAGGGAGCAGCAGGGCCCTGAGAAGTCCAACGATGAGTGTGCTGAGCTTCCAGGAGGCAATCAGGGGGCTAGGGCTTTAAGGGGACACCCCTATAGGACAGGAAAGCCAATTTGTGGCTGGCTCCAGCTTCTATCCAGGAGAGACAGACATTAGTTAAGACTTCTCCTTTCTCTGGCATCCCAGCTGTAGGAAACAGCACACCTAACCTCCTGGACCTGTGCTAGCAACAGCTGGTGTTCTCTAGCTGTGTCCTTACAACTTTCTTCCATCTCATGCTTCTCTGTCTCCTGCTGACTGCAGAAATGCTGGGTTGGAAATGTTTTAAAGTAATATTTAGGAAAACAGATGCAAGTTTATGCCTAATTACCATGCAGCAAAATAGCGATCATAGGAGTTGGGGACACTGAATTGTAAAGAGGTTTATTCAATTATAACACTATGGCCTGCTCACAGATACTCAGTCTTCAAAGTTCTGGAAAACAATTGGATTCTTGTTCTCATTTATCATCCAGGCACCCAAATTTCTAGATAATAAATAATAAAACCTAAACCAGTGGTTCTCCAGTATTAATATATAGAAAAACGTCAAAGTTTTGGAGTGTTTGTTAAAATACAGATTCCTGGGTCTCACCCCCAGAAGTCCTGGGTTAGCAGGTCTGGGGAGCAGCCCGGGAGTCTGCCCTGTTAACTGGGACACCGGGTGAATCTGATGCTCACGGTCGGAGGGGACGCGACCTGGGAGATACCCACATAACCCTGATCTGCCGACTCGTTTACCTGAGTGCCTAACTCCCGGGTTAGACCGTGGCTGGTTCTTCTTCCCTTCTATCTCCAAACTCTCTCCCACCTCCCATCTCTGTCTCAGAAGAGAGAGAGAATGTTAAACACGGACTTCCTGAGCACCAGCCCTAGATTCATGGCCAAACATCATCCCTGGTGGCTCAAGAATCACCTCCAACACATGTGAGTTCACCTTTCCTGTTGCATCCTTTATCTTTCCCATTTGCCTCATCATTTAACTGGATTGAACTAAAACTGGTCCTTCGCATGTTTCTAATTTGTTATGTTGTGTTTATACACTTTAGTATTTCTTTTAGAAAATGCCTTCCAGTTCTCACATGGGATTCCAGTCTCTTTTTCCGGAGCAAAGGCTGCAGGGGCTCCTGGGTCTCCCCACAGTTCCGAGATGACAGAAGTCCATCTGCTATTCCCAGTACCTGGTGAGCGGCTCCTAGAGAAGGGACTCCCCCAGGATGGGAGTGGGGTCGTTGTGGGGGCTCTGCCTCCAGATGGCCGTCCTCTGGGCTGCCGCTTTGCCTTGGGTCAAGTAATTTTTTCCAAGAATTATTGGGCTTGTCCCATTGTTTTGATTTCCACGTTACCCACCTGTTTCTTGGGATCAAGGTTTCCTTCCTTCTCTGGCTCCTAAGCCTTGGGATCAACCATAAATCGCCTCCTACTCTCCAGCTCCCGAAGCAAGCAACAATCCTTTAATCTTTTTGAAGTTGGAAACAGCTGGAAGCAGGCTGAGGGTAAAATGAGCACACAGAGACCCTTGGATGTTAAGTCCCAGGTCCAGGCCACTGCGTTCCTCAGGCTCCTCTGCCCGTAACTGGAGCCAGGCCTGGATGACAACCTGGACGCTCCAGGATATTCTGGGACCTCCCAAACCCTTGATGCTCCGATCCCAGGGCTGACCCTCCTTGGCACTCCTGGGCTCTCTCTTCGACAGTCCTTCTTCCCCTTCCAGTGTGGTTTTTTTTTTTTTTGAGGAAGATCAGCCCTGAGCCAACTACCCGCCAAACCTCCTCTCTCTGCTAAGGAAGACCAGCCCTGAGCCAACATCCATGCCCATCTTCCTCCACTCTCTACATGGGACACCTACCACAGCATGGCTTTTGCCAAGCGGTGCCATGTCTGCACCCGGGATCCCAACAGGCGAACCCTGGGCCTCCGGGAAGCGGAACGCGTGAACTTAACTGCTGGGTCACCGGGTGGCCCCTCCAGTGTGTTATTTATCCATTTCATGCCCCCTGCCCCACCTCCCGTGGAGAAAGGAAATTGGGACAATGCTAATGCTGGATTTTAGGACTCCCAAAGATGCCCAGAAAGCCCCATCTCTATATTTTAGAGAAACAGTCCAACTGTTCCTCCAGCGTCTACTTTTTTTTTTTTTTAACCAAAATCAGGCCACACTCTCCTCCTCCCAGGAGCCAGGGCTGATATGAAAGTATGGAAAAGCACAGGACTTGAGGGGCTGACATCTGTAAGAACAAGAAGCGGTAGAGGACAGCACACAAGTGGACCAGCCCAGGGAGCTGTGGTGTTTGTCTGTCCAGCACACTCTCCCTTCCTCCTTCTTCGGGTAACAAAAACTTCCCCACAGCTGCTCCCTCTTAATTTGTGTCTCTGCCCACGTCTGAGGAGCTTCGCCTGCCTAATTCAGACTTCCCCCCGGAGACTGGAGGCAGAGCCCCAGCTCCAAGTGCAGCCATTGCAGCCTTTGGAAAGGCTGTTCTGTGTGGCAGATACCTGTGCAGCCTCCGGAGCGGAGGCCTGGATTCAAATCCCAATTTACCACTTACATGACCCGGGGCAAGTGATTTAATCTTTCTGTGCCTCAGTTTCCTTATCTGTAAAAGGGAGGTAGTAAAAATCTACTTTATAAGGACTGCTGTGTGGATTAAGTGGGTTAACCCATACAAAGCATTTAGAATGTGCCAGAATGTATTAGACATTGTCTAAGTATTAAGCCTTACTATTACTATTTTGCCTCCAGTTCCCTCATTCCTGTGTTTATTTCTCAGTTCCCTCAAAGATCCTCAACACTTTAATTCACACTGTAGCTCTCTTTCAGATAGCCAAAACCAATGTATTTCTTAGTTGCTTCATAATTTTTTAAAAAATGTATAAAATTTCTGAACACCATTATGGTCACATTTGATAACCTACAATGTAAGTTAACTCACAATGAAATTGATCAATAGGGAATGATGTTAGCAGGACCAGAAAATTGCACTGGTTCATCATCTTCTTCCGGGCAAGGGGCACTGTTACAGCAGCGATAGAATTATAACCTTCAGCAGAAAAGGAGAAAGAAAACAGCCTGAGTACCACACTAGCACTAGGAACCTATAAACTGTATTTTTAAAGAAATAAACATCGCCAGCCTCTGGGGCACCCTCCCCGGGAAGGAAAGCCTAGCCTTTTGTGGCTCTCATGGCGCGCCAGGTAGCTGGGCCCTGGGGGCCACCTTCTTCATGGCAGCCCCCAGCCTCTCCTACCTGCACTGTTGCAGCCCTGCCAGCTCTGTTCTAATGGAAATGTTGCCAGCACTGCCGTTCTGTTCACTGAGGCATCTTCTAGACTCTCTGAGAGCTGCCTAACTGGGCTCCTGAGTTACTGTTCCAGGAACCAATTTTTGTTTTTATACTGCTCTGGTTACAAAGTTGCATAGTTTCAAGTAGCCTGTTCCAACCTTGTTTCTTTATAAATTCAATTACTTTAGCCGGGGTTTTGCAGAGCACAAAGGCTTGTAAGAGAACACATCGCACATTAGAGCAGAAACACCTGTATCATTATCATTACCTTGAAGACACATTTCAACACTAACTTTCTATGTGTCTACATTATCTTTGTAAATGGATTTCAAGTTCTCACTTTAAGTCTTGAAATTACCAAAAAGAAAACATAGATGTTCATTTGACTGCAGATGGGATGGAGTTCTAATACTCCTTCATCCTGGGTCGCATCGATTCAGAGTTGATCAGTTTCTCAGTTCAATTGGAGACGCCATCTAGACTTCAGTCTCTGAGCCACATATTGGTAATATTTTTATGAAACTACTTTATTTTGTTTTATTTTTATGCCCCATTTGTTCACTTTCACAGTCTCTCTCTCTCTTCTCCCCTCCCTCTCTTCCTTCCATTCTTGTCATTCTTAAAGAGGAGGGCAAATTTTATTAAAACCTGTTTCTTAGTGACTGTTTTGTTTTCAGTGGTGTCAGTACGACCCATCATGCTAAGATAGGAGAATATTTTATATTCCTTGAAAAAGAAATGAAGAAAGAAGATGCACCATATTAATAATATGAACTTAGAGAGATCTATCTGTCAATATTCCACATAGAAGGCCTCCATTGTCTTGTCATGTGATATGTGATTCATTTGTTCTAAATCATGATGACATCAAACTGGAAAACTTAGCTGATGTGCATACAGAATAACCCCCCATGCTATGAAATACATGCAGATCAAATCCTTGTTAGAGAAGTTATTGAACATATTTACTTTCTTTACAAACATTATTTAAAAGTCATAAAAATTTCCAACAAATTAGCAGCCAATGTTGTTTTGATGCTTTCTGTGTGTCAAGTATTCTTCTAAGCATTTCAGTGGTATTGACTCAGTCACCCCCAGAAGGTAAGTACTCTTATTACGTTCATTTTTCAGGAAAGGAAACTGAGGCCAGAAGGGCTAATTGCCTAAGGTTGTACAGCTAGTGCGAGGGGAAGTCAACGTTGAAAGCCAGGCGGTCTGACTTGAGAACCTAAAAGACAGACCTCCCTGCCCTCTCCACCACCACGCTGCCCAGGGAGGAAAGAAATACCACTCCCATTAGATCGTTGAAGAAACTGAGGCTTAGGAAGATCTTATCCAAAGTCACAGACGTTCAGTGGTAGAACAGGGATCTGAACTAGAACATAAGCACTTGGCCACATCAGGTCTTCCTGAATTTTTGTGCTTCTCTGTCATCTCAGGCTGTGTTCAATGCTTTCATCTCTTGAATATTTTTAAGGCTTTAGGTGGAAAAAACCTCAGCGATTTTCATTTATTACTTTTTAATTTGCATATTTATCACTCATTTCTAAAGTGTAGGTAGAAATAAGAGTATCTGGTTTAAACAGGAAGTCTTTAGTAAAAAGACATCAATTTAAAAGACTTCTCAAAAAAAGTTCTCAAATGGGCAAATACTTTTTTTTTTCCACTTAAAAACTCTTCTGAATGAACTTGGCAGAAGACTGGCCACTCCTGCTAGCTTTAAGATTCCTCCCAATTTCTCTTCAAAATTCCCTGGAAGATAAACAAAAAGATTAGAAGTGGAAACTAAAGCTGAGAAGACCATATGTGGAGAACAGCCTAATTCTCCACCACCCGTGCCATTCAAAGGGTTCTAGGTTAAAAGTCACACACTCCACAGCCTGAAGCAGAACAGGACAGATGCTCCTGAAGGAGACTGGACAAGCTGCTGACTCACCCGTCTGTTACTGTGACACACTGGGTTGGCACTAACAAGAAAAACAGACATACTCCCCAACTTTTGAACCAATAAAAGCCACACTTCTGCCTTTCACATACCAAGGTCTCCTTTTTGTTTCTGGTTTTCATCTACGGCCAGAGTGGTGGTAGAAGGCGGAGTGGAGAGGAGATGGGATATATTGCAGAAACAATCTAGCAGCTCCCGCTGGAAGAAGCAATTTTCAGATAAAGGGGCACGCTGTTCCCAGAAGACGAAGGGATAAGGTTAGGCTGGTAAACCTAACTGAAGTTCAGGAGATCTGCCCTGGGTGAACACTAGACTTCATAAATTGAACTGGGTTCTACACATCAATCATATTCTCCAATCCGGTGAGGTGAGGAGTGCAGACCTCCATTACCAGGCCAGTGGGTCCATCCTCCAGGTGCTCTGAACTGAACTCTTCTCCAGGGTTGACAGGAGCTGCCTCACCTGGAAATGCAGGAAAGATTACACTCTCCCCCTAGAGATGATGCTCCTCCAAAGACTGGCACTGTGCAAAAGGCCAGGCCCTTCGTTCAAGGTGGGACAATGTTATGGGGCTCTTCACACTCCAGAGTTCCCCCTGGGCTTGGGCTGAAACTAGATCTCATCTGAACCCTCATTTTCACCTCGTTTCTTCCTCAGCCCCATCCTGGACCCCTCACTCGCTCCTAGGTTTTACCTGCAAGCACTCTCACGAAATCACTGCACAATGATCCCCATCGCAGGCTCTGCGTCTAAGGGACACAAAACCTCAGACAATCTACTGAACTAATTAACAGCAGTTCCAGGTACACTGACTATCTTGTAAATAAAGGTGACACAAAAACTCTTATGCATGTAGTTTTTTTCTTATTTTGTAGATTCCAATTTCATTTTCAAAAAATACAGATCCAGGATATTTTGTGGTTCTTGAAATGCATTGCCAAATTATTTTTTATAGGGTTTGTCTCAATTGTACTACCTCCAGCAACATTTCAAAGTAGAAGTAACAGCAAGGCAGCCAGCACTAGAAACCAGCACTATTCCAAACTATTAAGGTTATCTTATTGCTGCTCTGATTTGTATATCTTGGATCGCTAATGAGGTTGAACACTTCCCCATATTTGTTTACTAATTGTAGATCTCTCTTAGTTGAATTTCAAATCTACGAAGAAAATTCCATGCCAGGTTTCCAAAAGTTTCAACACCGTGAGATTAATCTCATTGTGTGCGAGGGCTTTTCAGTTCCATGTAAGACAATTCCAAGTTTAAAAACTGGGCAAAGTCATCAGGACCGTTTTCCTGTGGAGAAAGGTTAAAGTAAAGCAGATGTGAAACTGGCCTCAAATCTCTTTTCTCAGACCGTGTTGTCAGGGAATGTTAACTCTTGAACCTACACACAAAAGAACGCTGAAGAAATAATTTAATAGTCATTAAAATTACTTTTCATGTCATTTTATTAATAAAAACAAATGTGCTAAATAACCTCAGCATAACTGTAGTAAATGATCTCATTGGCCTTACTCCCTCAGCTTCCATGGCAAACTCTCCTCATTCTGCCTCACTAGAACTTCCCTTTCTTTCTATTTTTCTTCCCTTTCTCCCTTTTTATCTGCTCTAAATGTAAGTGTTCCCCAAAACTTCTGTCCTTGGGCCTTTTATTGTTTCCCTTTCATCTTCTCCCTTAGTGATTTATTTATAATGTGAAATTAAACTATCTAGAGTGATTTTTTCCAGATCTTTCCATTTCACTCAGGAGTGTGAAATTTCCCAGGGTTCCCCACAAATTCAGCAGTGCTCTCACACTGATAGAGAATGACAGCAACGAGGACACACTCTCATAAGAAAGTGCACTCATGAGGAAATGCCACAGAGATAAATTGGATGTTCCTACGTAATTCCCATACCACCACCTGACCACGGACCTGGTGTGTCAAGACAGCCTGTCCTCCACAGTTTACATGCTTCCTGTTACCGGCACAAAACAGAAGTCGTTAGACAAAGTCAGCTCAAGGATGTGTGTTTCTAGCCTATGTTAAGACCAAGTTACTTACCAGTGTCCAAAAAATGGGAGATTTCATATGCAATTTCTAGCTTCTCTTAAAAAAATGATAACATTAGGTTCCAAATTCCCACATGAAAAGAATCTATCAAAGCCTGATAATGGCTCCCCTCTTTAAATGAGGCATGTACCCTCCAGTTTACCACAGTCCCCACTGCTCCATATTGCCTGAAACCTCCTCATTCTTCTTTGTCTCTTTGCTTAATTCCTTCACTCTCGTTTTCCCTCATTCCTTCTCTCCTTTTTTCCTTCCTTTCTCCTTCCTATACACACTCTTTCCTCATCTGAGATTCTCTCCCCTCAAGCTTCCTTCACCTTACCCCTCTATATGGCATAGCCTATTTAGTTTTAGAATCCTGTTTGGCGAGACCTCTTCTGTAAATGTTTTCCTGACTGCCCACTATCACTACCACCTAGTTAATCATTGATGCTTCTCTAGTTATTCTCTCTGACATGAATACCTGCATATATTTATCTACAAGTATTGGACAACCAACATATATTGAGAGACTAGCATGCAGCAGACACTCTGAGAAGTGCTGCACACATAAAATCAAAGAAAATATGTTCCTGGGCATCATGGAGTACACAGTTTGTGGAAAATGCAGGGACAGAAGGTGGGGTAGGGCGCTGTGGAGGATGGAAGAAAGGCCATTCCCTTCGAACCAGGCTCTTTAGAGCAAGTGACTTACTTGATTTGAGATTTGAAAGACAAAGAGGAATTAGCTTAGCAGATAAATTGAGGAAAAGTGAATTTTAGGGGATGAAAGCATAATCTGAGAAGGCATATGAGCATAAAATACCCAGTGAAGACAGGGACTAGCAATTAGCTCTGTATTGCCACAGAGAAAGGTATATTCCCTGAAGTAGCAAAAAACGAGGCAGGAACCATTTTAACCTACTCTCTTTATTCAAAACCATGGTTTCCTTTGCTTCCACTATAAATTCTAGAATTAATTGAATATCACAATTAAAATACATAAAGCAATTGCATTTTAGAAGCAAGATTTAATTTTTTGCGTGCATATTGAGCCTGCTCTTAAGCTTTCTTTGGCATCAAGAGTTTGGAAGGGAGTTTGGAAGCAAGAACACAAAACAGGCCATTTTTAACATCGAGCCTATCATGCTGCTTTGTTTTCATAGCCAGAAATACAAAAATTAAAGAAAAAAGTTTCACAAACATAGTCAATGAAAGTCGGATGAGGGCTGCAAGGCCTGCTCACTTATTTTGGGTAAAATAAAAATCTGTTTTACCCAAAATTGTTCCAAATTATTTTCTGGAAGTTACAATGAAATCAAATTTGATTTCTCAAATCTCCTCTTGGGGACCATTTGGCAATTACGAAACATTAGCAGTAAAAATTTCCTCCCAAACTTCCAAATGGAATTTTCTGCCACAATATCAGGAAAATATTACCTGAATTTATCTTGCAGGAAGACTAGCTGATATTTTATATTTTTTCCCTGAAATCAGCTTCAAAAATTAAGTGAGAAGGAGAAGGGACCATTTTTTAACATCAATTTGCTATCCCTGTAGCTGGATTTTGGTTATAATTGCCTGAAGTATACTTAACATGCATTGATATTCCTGTTTATCTCTTAAAATTCCAAGTTCCATATACAAAATTCCAAACCAAGCTGCCAAATACGCCAAGCACCAATGAAAGTTGTTAGTTTCAAACCTTTGAAGTAATTGGTAACTTCCTTGATGTTCTAAAAGTAAGGCTCCTGCAGTCTTCAGCTAAGTATCTTTCCTTTTGATAACTAATAAACTTGAGGATAGGACACAACAACTTCATCAGGCACATTCAAGTATTCACTCAGTAAGGCACATAGTCTAGCACTTTTTATGGGGTTGACTCCTTTGGTAATAGTAGGAATAATTCCCACGGATTCCTGGGCAGGCTCTGAATAACTCTGATTTTCCTGCCCTGCCGAACTCCTCACTATGAATTCCATGCTGCTGGAGCATCATCAGTGCAGATTTCTACCAATTCTTTTTAATCTCATTTGTTCAGAAGAATTTTAACAGGGCTTCAGAGACACAATTAGGTTTGGTTGTAGGCCCAAAGGCTTGAGAAACAGCTTCCTTGCCTCCACACCACCTTTAACCACAAACCACGCAGAAACACAAGGTTTAGCACATGGTTCTTGGGGGCACTCATAAGATGCATCAAACTAATGGTAAGAAAAAGCAAGGATTTGATCTTTTGCAAAACTCAAAGTGTGGTGTCACCAGGTGAGACATTCTAATGTCTGACTACAGCACGCGAGAAAGAAAGATTCCAGAACAGCTTCAAAATATCCTCTCTGATAAACTGCTAGCAGTACTCACAATGCATAGTTCCCTGAGAATTTCTCCAGTGTTGTGAAGTTGGGGCCTCAGTGATTAAAAGGATTACTTTATGCAAAATCTTCACAGCCATTATGGTTTCTTCTTAATACATTCCGATACTATCTAATATTATAGGTTGCAGAGAATTGCACTCTAATAATAAGATCTACCTATACAAAAATAAAGTTTATGTGGGGCTGGCCTGGTGGTGTAGTGGTTGGGTTTGCACACTCCAGTTCAGTGGCCAGGGGTTCACGGTTTGGATCCCAGGCACAGACCTATAGACTGCTCATCAAGCCATGATGTGGTGGTGTCCCACATAATAGAGGCAGATTGGCACAGGTGTTAGTTCAGGGAAAATTTTCCTCAAGCAAAAACAGGAAGATTGGCAACAGATGTCCACTTGGGGCCAATCTTCCTCAAAAAAAAGAAAGAAAGAAAGAAAGAAAGAAAGAAAAAAGATTTGTGTAAATCTGATTTAAATGTTATTAAAGCTGAAATAGAGTTCCTTTGATTATTGTTTTTAAGTTGAATCCTTGTTGTTTGGAATAAACTTGGATCTAACCTTGATGTATAAGTGAGCCTCATCACATTTGTATTTAGCTGCCATCCTCAGTTGTCTTATAGGAAAAAATTGTTTTGTTTTGTTTTTTAATTTTTTTTTTAAAGATTGGCACCTGACTAACAACTGTTGCCAATCTTCTTTTTGTTTTCTTTCTGCTTTTTTCTCCCCAAATCCCCCTAGTAATAGTTGTATATTTTAGTTGTGGGTCCTTCTAGTTGTTGCGTGTGGGATGCCGCCTCAGTGTGGCCTGATGAGTGGTGCCACGTCCCTGCCCAGGATCCGAACCAGTGAAACTCTGGGTCCCGGAAGCGGAGCGTGCGAGCTTAACCACTGGGCCACGGGGCCGGCTCCTCCAAAAATTGTCTTTAATGAGAAGTATTTTTCAAGAGTGCCAAGCTGGTTTTGAAGAGTAGAGTGATGCTGATGGCAGAGGTGACTGCCTAGTTTCCCCTCATATGAGGCCAATAAGCCAAATATTTGTTTTATGATTCTCTGTTCTTATTTGCTGTTGGATTAAACTCTGTTGTCAAACAATACAGAGATATAAAAAGAAAAAGGAATTATTCCCCTTGTCGCTTACAAACTCATCCCACTGAGGTAGATCAAGTTATCTATCTACCCTATTCTTTCTGCTCCTACAAAGACATAGATTCATATTTATATTAACACACGAATATGTAGTGTTTTATTTTATAAAAATAGAATTATATTGCACATTTTCCTGCAACTTGCTTTATCATTTAGTTTCTATGGTTAATCCCTTGGTCCATATAATTCATTTTCATTTTAAAGAACACCAAAAACTAAGATTTTGATTCAATTTACATTAAAATGGAGAAGGAATTGTTTCATCATACTATATTTCCATCTAGCAACATGACATACATTCATTTGTTGAGGTTTTATGTCTTTCAAGAAAAAAGGGTTTTTGGGGCCCACCCGTGGCCGAGTAGTTAAGTTCGCATGCTCCGTTTGGGCGGCCCAGGGTTTCGCCGGTTCGGATCCTGGGCGCGGACATGACATCACTCATTAGGCCATGCTGAGGCGGTGTCCCACATGCCACAACTGGAAGGACCCACAACTAAAATATGCAACTATGTTCTGGGGAGATTTGGTGAGAAAAAGCAGGAAAAAACCCCCCAAAAACCCAGAAGATTGGCAACAGTTGATAGCTCAGGCGCCAATCTTTAAAAAAAAGAAAAAAGGGTTTTCACAAAGATATTGTGATTTTTTGTTAAATTTATTCTCTTTATAGGTGTTATTTTTCCTGTTTTAAAAAAGAGTTTATTTTCCTGTTACATATAACCGGTTATTGCTGGGATGGTAGGTTGTATTATTGATCATTATCTACTCCCTCTATGGTAAGTGGATTATACATCTATGTTAGATATAATTTGCAATATCTTCTTGGAACGAAGCATACTTCCTATCCCCATTTGAGGTGGCCATGTCACTTGTGTTGGCCAATGAATGTGAATGGGTATGACATAAACACATCCAGACAGAAGCTTTAAATTTAATTGTGTGATGTACTTGGCCTCTCAAGCTTCTGTTCTCCGGCATTAAAGCGTCCAAGTAGAGGCTGCACCTTTGGACTAGATCCTGGAACAAGAATGCTTGCAAAGCAGACCTGTGGCCAACCTATAGCTTGGAGCAAAGCGGCAGCCAACTGTCAAGAATTGTGAAGAGTCTCATATTTTACCTTACTTTCAAGCTAAGATGTTAACTTGCCAGTTTCATCGATGCTGACAGAAAACACTTAACTCCTGGGTCAGAGACAAAAGACAGTAGCCAGAGTGTCAGCATGTTTGTGTGGGTTCCCTGAGTCTCCATTCCCACATTCCCACACATGTGAAGGGGTCCATGTAGATGCCTGAAAACATAGTAGGTTGCATTCTAGGAGAGGAACACTGACCTTGAAATCCCATCATTTCATAGCAAACAGTGAGCAAGCCTGCTCTTTGCCCCAAAGGTAGAAATTACCTCCTCTGTCAAGGTTGCTTACTGCAGACACATCCCTGAGAAATGGCTGGGTAAAAAATGATCAGGGTCTTAAAGGCTTAGCACACCCAGCAAGACATGTAGGAACATGAGAGACTCATGGAAGAGCGTCTCCCAACACCAACCCTCAGCCCTCATGGAATGTCAGTGAGAAATAAATGTTTGCTATTTTATGCCACTGCAATATTAGGGTTGTTTTTTACATAAAGGTAACTGATACAGCAAATACAGAGAAAGAAAGATCCATTGATATTTGTACATTTGTCTTATATTCTGCCACCTTACCTAATTCTCTTATTTTAAAAAATAATACAGTTTCTTGGGTTTTCTAGGTATAATACCATCATCTGCAAATAAAGTGAATTGTCTCCTTTTCCCCCCAGTATTTATATTGATTATTTTGTTTTCTTACCTTCAGCATTAGCCAGAGCCTCCAAAACAATGTTGAATAGTAATGATTATGATAGTAAATATGCCATTTATTAAACTATTACCCTTTAGTTCCAAACCTACCCTTTGATGCTTTGCTTATGATGCTGGGGCTGAACCATGTTTTTGCTTTGCAAGTTGGCTCCCTGTTAAACTCTGTGGATAGAGAGTTCACGGGCAGAGAGGGCCCAGGCTGGAAAAGAAAGAAGGGACTTAGTTAATACATCTGTAGTGCTTACTACATATGTTCTAAGAACTTTATTGTATATAATAACTCACTTAAACCTACCTGGTTGTGGCTTATAACTACATGGTCAAGTTTGAATTGCCAAATGTTTATTCAGAACTTATATTCATAACTGAAACTGAGCAATACTTAGAGTTTTATATCTTGTATCATTATTATTATGTTTCCTACTATCTTATTGCCTCTATTGAACTGAAAGATCCTTGAAAACCAATGCCTTACTAATATTTTTCTCCTATATAGTCAATATCACAATATCTGGCAAGAATATGTGATTGATGTATGTTAAATGAATAAACACACAACAGATCTAAAGTAAGTCTACTTTTTGAAAAATTAACATTTATTCTGTAATACAAATTCTAATTTCACACATTTAAAAATATTTGTAAGAAGTTAAAATACATAACAATAGGTAAATTTAATATTAATTCAACTAGATTTTTCTAGGCATAAGTGTTCATTTCAGAACTCTGGCAATTTTTAAATTGTTGCTGATCCTGTCTCATTAAACATCTCTTTGTAGAGTTTTAAAATTCTCCAACATTTAGTTAATAGCAATAATTACTTTTGCATACTTTTGACTTACTTTATGTTTTGTGATGTAGATTATATCAAAATTATTTCTTTTTCCAGAAGATTAAAGACAAATTACTAGAAGATATGCATCAAGGATTCCTAATGTATGAAACCATTTTCAACAAAATGCTTTTTATTTAAGTCAAAATTGGATTTCCATGGTTTGGGGTTTCAGGACTTCTAAGGCTTTGCTCCCACAGATTCAAAACTTGAACTAGACATCAAAGGTTATAATGTTGCCCCTTCAAGGCACCAGCTAAAGGATTTGGCAACTATTTTCTATGATTTAGCTTTGCTTGAATCCTTCCCTTCAAAGCAGCTGTTACTATGTCTTTGCGATTAAGTATAAGGACATGTTATCATTTATTTGCGTGTTTTTTAAATTGCATTTTAAGGATCTTCCATATCCACAACAAAATACTGGCAGATAAATAAAGTAAAAATGTATCCTCTACCACCAACGATCTTGCTATATAAGGTAGAGACCATAGGCAGACCCAAATTTTATAGAGAAATAATAGTGTAGGACAAATTTCTTTCAATTCCATTAGCAATAGGAAGAAAAAACCATCAAAATGAGGGCAACACAACTGAAGTGACACCCTGCGGTTTTCCCTATTGTTTTTGTTGTTGTTTTAATTCTAGGTTCCATTTTATGTGGTCAGGAGGTAACGACTGGACATTTATGATCATTATCACAAAGGATCTTTTTCTCACGTCCTCATGGCATGTTTGGAAGCAGTAATACAAACCATGGTAATAAGAATTATTTTAATATTATTAATTTTTTTTCCTTCCCTACTACCCTAAAGTTTATAACTTTAACTTTCATTATAAGGAATAATTGACGTATATCTTTTTTTACTAAAACACAGTAGTTTTATAAGGCTTGGGCTGGATTTATTTGAGAAAAGACTGTATTTTATTATGTGCCCTGAAAGTGACCTAAAATGCATTTTATCAGTTCAATTCAGTTTACTTACCTTAGCCTATGTGGTTTCTGTGTGTGTGTGTGTATCATACTCCTGATGATGGCAAAAACCTATACAAAGTGTTGAAAATCACAAATACATGGAGCTGTTTTGATGACAGTCATCTAATTTTAGAAGTGAATTATGACATAGAGCTATCTTTGATTATATTAAGTACAGTCTACATTACTGTCCTATATTTTTGTCTGCGTTTTTACTTTATTTCTGAATATAGATTCTTTGTTTTATAATTTTCTTGAATTATGATTTAAAGGCAAGAAAATAAGAAATAACAGTTTATAGGATGTTAAGTGACCAACACAAGGATCTATTTCAGGAAATTAAAATGGCAACTTGGACAAATTTGTTTTTCTTTTAAATTAGGTTTATTAAAAAATACAGATTTTCTCATTCACATCAATTATGTGATATTTAAAAATACCAGAACTATCACAGTAGTTTAACATTGTAGTTTAACATTTCACACAATTGACTTAAAGAAGAGGTTTGTTCAAAACTTTTCACCAACTCTCTGGAATGCCAACCACAGGATAAAGTGTAAAACATACTATATTTTTAATCTGGTATTAGCAGCTGTTTACGGTATGGCTTAAGGACTGTTCAGTTTTCTTATAATTTTGTATTGTTTTTTGGTGGTTTTAGTTTGATTTTTGTTGTCTCACTATTTTTAAAATGGTGTTATTTTCACAGGAAAAAAAAGAAAGCATAGACCAAAGGAAGAAAATTATGTTGAGCAAATTTCCATGGAAAATTACTTAGGTTTTAAAATTGAAGTTGACATTTTTGAATTGTGAAGTTTTGGGTCTTGTTTTATTTAAATCAAAATCTCTAAGATTTTATGAGAATGGTTGAAATCAGGAGACAGTTCTGAGTGAAAAAAAAAATGGGGGGAAAAGGTGAAAATAATGGAGAAACTTCAGCAAATGCCTCAACTCCAGAGCAATATCTTTTCTGTTTTGAAAATAAGTCTTTGCAGGTGTGTTTCCTATCTTGCTTTCTTGCTCAAGGAAGAATCATTTTCTGAATTTACCAGCAATTGATGTGTGCTGAGGGCTCATTTATTTCTCACAAAATGTCGCTAACTCACTCCTGTCCTCTTAAATTTGAAACAGCTGCTCCCCACTGGCAGGCTCTAAATCTCAACAGAGACAGAATTCCAGACTCTCTGTATGCCTGTATTACACTATTGTTAATAATAATCTCTGTCCATCAAGGTGACAAGGGGACAATGTGAGTCTACACACATATTTTCTCTGTCCATACATAAAAAGCTAAAGCTTGCATTTTGTTAGTAAAAACCCATGATTTAATTAAAAAAAAATCTCTGATTGTTGGTGCCATTTGAAGCACTATAATTTAGTTTTGCTTGAAGCACCATAATTTTCAACGTTGTTTCCTTTCTATGCAGTTATATTTTTAAATATTATCTATGAATTAGAGTAGCTTATTCACTGAGAGAAAGCAGCAGAGAGGTCCAAACTAAATGTTAAAAGGCAAAGCAAATCTGTAAAAATAAACATATTCTTTAATTTTAAATTGGTTATAATTTAATTTTCAGATTACATTTTCATAATTTAGAATTTGCAACCTCTTCAACATTTATTTGTAAAGAAGACAACAATTCCAACTTTTTCAATGAAGGCCTCACTGTTGAAAATAAGAATTTTAACACAATCCTTAAATACCTGACTTTTTAGTCAAAGGTACGTATTTTTATTTTACCTTGTTTTTACATTGTTACCTCACCAAAAAGAAATCAATTTGTTCTTCTTAGATTTTCTTGCAGAACAACTGTTCAATTTCTATAAAGACAGATTCATCTGTTTTGAAAAAAGCTAAAGATTATTTTCATGCATAAGATAAATCACTGAAAGAGACAGTAAAGAATTCAAAAGGTACTTCATGTTCTACCAGAACAAAATCCAAATCATTCTTCTCCACAGTGAATTCATGGTTTCCTGCAAGATAAGATCTCATCCTGTTAAGGACTTCATCCTCGAATAAAGAAGAACATAATTTCTCAAGGGAACTCCAGTATCATAACTGATGACATCAAATATATCAATAAGCACAGCTCTTATTTTAAAATAGTCACCCAAGTCTCTAGAACCTACAGTTGAAAGTACTGATGTTAACCTGTAATAGTCTACAATAAAATAAACACATGAAAGAGAACAAATAATTGTTTAATTATTAAAAAGTTTTCATTCTCATGAATAAAATTAAAATGCCCAGTAATCCTTAATTAATACATTTAGAATCCCTTCCTCAGTGATGAGAATTAACTTTGCAATTTAATTTGACACTTTACAGTGTGAAAAAGAAAGATAAAAAATAAGCCTCTTGGGAATGGCAGGAAAATTTCCAGTCTCTCACCAGCCAATTCAATTTAATCAGGTCTCTCTGTCTCGCTCTCCCTTTTTTCCTGAAATCATTGGTGTTTCCACCCCCAGTCCTCTCCAGTCTTCTTTTTTTTTCTTAATAAACAGAACTAACCTTAAAGATCCGAGGTTTGGATTTCCTTTCATCTTGCAGCGTTTGTCTAGATTTGTTGCTGGTCAACATGGTAGTCCAGAATTCAAAAAAGATTAAAAAAAAAATTACAGTCTGTTACAAAAGATACATGATATTGTAGATATAAGATACCGGAAACTAAGGATAGCAAAAATTTCCAAATGTTTAATACTTTTTTACAGTGCCCTGCTTATCTTGGTATTTATTATTCATTCATTCACCAAAGCTGTATTGAAAAGCTATAATTCACTGAAGATAGCGCAGGGCCAGGATCCAGTCTCTGCCAAGAGGAGCTCACAGTTTAGTAGGAAGTCAGACAGGTAAACAAGAAAGTTTCAATATTAGACAGTAAATTCTTATATAAAGGGCTGTATGGTACTGTGGGGAAAAAACAAGAAGTCTTCCCAGGGAGGTGACACCTGATCCAAGGCAGAACAGAAGGTTAACAGAAGGTGGAAAATTTATCCTTGGCAGAGAAAAGACCATATGCAAAGAAATGGATATGGGGAATTTGGGGATATAGATATATGAAGTTGCCTGATGGACAAAGTCAATGGTGACAGAGGTGCCAAGGAGAGAGAGAAGGACTGGAGCTAGCCTATGAAAGCCTTCATATGCCAAATTGAGTTAATATTTTAGTCTGCAGGCAATGGATTTTATGCAGAGAAATGACGCAATCAGCTTTAAGACTATCAAAGGTCAGACTCCCTAAGAAATAGTCACTGAAACCCTGTGATTTGTATGCAGCAATTCATACAGGGAATGGTTTTGGGAACAGTACCTGTTAGGGAGTGAAGGGAAGGAGGGGTGGGAAGAGGGGAAGTTAGACCGTGGTGCAGATGCATCGCAGGTGCAGCTGATGCAGCTGATCCCATGGGGAGTTCTGAAGCTGAAATGGCCTTTCAGATTTGTCCCATCTTGAGGCCAGGCAGCCAAGCCTTCTTACCCACACTGAGAAGTCACTGGATGCAAGCTGTACCCCAGGGAGGAGGGGTAACCTTGGGCAAGTTTGATTCCTGTAGGTGAGAGCAATTCCTGGAGAGGGACACAGCTGTGAGCCATCACCAACCAATACATCCAGCAGTTGGAAGCAGTGTCTCCATCCTGAAGAGGGATCTGAGGAATGCATCATATAATCTACTACAGGGGTTTTATTGTTTTAATTATTATTATTATTTTTCAGCTTAAACCTGACCATAGTGAGAAGGATGGTCTTGAGTGAGGAAAGATTGGTTAGAAGGGGATCAGATGGGATTTTGTGAAAAAGGATGATGTCAAAGGTACCATGGTAATTCATGGGGGAAAGACAGTCTTTTCACAAATGCTGCTGGAACAATTGGCTATCCATATGGAAGAAAAAAGAACCTCAACTCTTGCCTCACACTACACAACAATTTAACTCAAAATGGATCATAGTCCTAAATATAAAGGCTAAAACCTTAAAACTTCTACAAGGAATCAAAATAGAAAAATCTTTGTGACCTTGGGTTAGTCCAAGCTGTCTTAGATAGAACACTAGAAAATAAATAATACAAGGGCTGAAAGATTGACAATACCAAATGTTGATGAGAATGTGAAGGAACTAGGACTCTCATACATTGCAGATAAGAAAGTAGAAGTGCACAGCCACTTTGCAAAGCAAACATGGCAGTTTGTTATAAAGTTAAGGATATACTAACCAGGACATCCAACCCCATTACAAGGTATTTATCCAAGACAAATGAAAATATAAGAGTTGTACTCCAAAGTTTATAGCTATTTAATCAATAATGGACAGAAACTAGAAACAACTCAAATGCCCGTCAACAGGTGAATGGATAAATAAATCGTGATATATCTATAATATTGTATACTACTCAGCAATAGAAAAGGTTTGAGCTATTGATAGAATAATATGGATGAATCTCAAAGACAATGTACTAAGTAAAAGGTGCCAGACACAAAAGACTATATTATTATTCTATTTATATGAATTTATTTCTATAAAGGCAAAAGAACCACTGGTACCAGGCACCAGAGTCGAGGAGAGGACTGACCACAAAGTGGTACAAGGAAACCTTCTGGGTGATGGGAATTTTCTACAATATACATCATAATTGTGTAGTTGGCATACGGCTGTATATATTTTTAAAACTCATGGAGTTGTACATTTATTATTTCTGAATTTTATTATATGTTACCCCTAAAAAATGAAATATAAAAATAAATGAGTAGCATTTAAATGGCCACCAGGCCTTATTTTCTTCAGTTCCTGTTTCTTAGAAAAAGTCCTTTTGTTAAGCCTTCAGCATTCATTCACTGAATGAAGACTGACAATGTACCAGGTTCTGTGTTTTTTCCAAATGGCTGAATTGTATTCAAAGAGAAGGCAATCTAGGAATTCGACAACTATAGTTTTAATGCCCTAGCTACTAGTAAATTGATCACCAAGACCATATTAAGAAACTGGTCTACTTTATGTGACAAGGATAATATAATATTTTAAATAAAAAGTATCCCTTAAAAGTAAGAGAGAAACGAAAAACTCAAAGAAACTTAATATAAAATGGGCATCTCTTTTCCTGGATTTTTTTTGTGAGTATAAGTAAAAACGTAATAAGTGCCCACTTAATTGAACACATATGGCAGGAATGAAAATTTTAAAGAGAAGAAAACCATTTTTTGATTCTATAAATAAGAAGATACTAATAGCAAGGAAAATGTCTAGCTAGGAAAATATTTGACATTTCTCTCAACTGTAAGAGACAGAAAACACAAACATCTCTGAGTGAGGGTTTCACTGTATCTGTTCTGGACTCTAGCTATCAGCCTAAATTTCTACTGACATTACTCTACCTCTCTGCTTTGCACTCACTCTAAAGGGAAGCTTTGTAGCTACAGTCAGATAAAAAGTAGAGCTTGAGAACATACATATAACAATAAAGCATTATCAAATATGAGGTATACCCTGCACTTATATCAGCTTTTGTTATGTCCCCAATTTTGTTCCATGACACCTGAGTCAAAAGTCAGTTTTTCTAAATTAAATCCAATCTGACTTGGCTTCCATGCTAGAGAGGCAGAAAATGCTATTATCTATCTATATATCCATCTACCATTTTCCTGGTTCCTATTCCCTCCCTTGGGGTTGTGCACAAACCCCAAAACGATGGGGAAGAGCCTGGTGACTGCCACTCCTGGTCAGCCTTGCCCATGGGCCTGTGTAGTCCACTCACAGATATGAAGCGTCACACCTCTGGATCAAGTCTGGCCTCAGGACTATCTTTCCAGAATCCTAAGCTGGGCTTCCTATCATTTGGCTTCCCTGGGCACTCATACTCCTTAGGGCCCTGTGTACACATGAGCCGCTGACAGAACCTACAATTGGTGTGAACCCCCCTCCTCCACACCTTCCCACCCCACTCCCCAACTGTCCGTCCCCCTTTCACCTCTGACATTGTTCTCCAAGCACAGATCCCGGACCAGCAGCAGCACCTGAGAATTGTTTTTCATTTTAAAGTTTGTCAGGCAACTCTTAACATGTAGCCAAGGTTGAGAATCATTGTTCTAGATTTAAGAACAATCATGATAACAGAGATGATGAGACTATGCATAATATAAATACATGTTAATATACTTAAATGATTGAAGTCTAGTACAAGTAAGTTTTAAGTGAATTTAGAAGAGAAGTTACCAGTGTAGGCTCTTAATTAGCTAAAAAAAGCTTACTGGAAAAAAGTAGGATTTAAGGTGTACAAGCTGCAGAACATTCTGGACCTTCTCCTTCCTGTACACTGGGGAATTACTGGAGCTAGGCTGCCATCTTGGTCTGTGAGTTGGCTTTGGGAATGTAAGTCATGCATGACTGGGCAACAAGATGGAAAGAGCCTGAATTCCTGAAACAACCCTGGGCAAACTGGCCCTGGATCGCCTATGTCCAGACATCTTTACACAAAAAAGAAAGAAACTTCAGTCTTGTTTAAGCCTATTATCTTGGGGTTTTCCTGTCACTTGCAAGCAAACCTTCTCCTGACTAATGTCAATAGCAGTACATACTGTATGACCAGACAAGAGAATCTCGCCAAAATAATAGACATTAAATACCCACATTCTATATCACCTCAGAGTTTACTTTTCAACGTAATGTAAAGGGATTGTGACTACCATTTGTGGTATAGAAAACATGAACGTGATAATTAATCAGCATTCACCTCTCGTCTCCTGTGTATTACACGAGAAGAGAGAGGCTGAGGGAAAGAAACTTTTGTGACTCTCTCCTGGGTAAGAGTGCATGTGAATGTAATCAACACAACATCCCCATATACCAGGCCATACTGTGAACCCAATCTTGTGTTTTGCAATTCATTTTTTCTTAAGTATTATTCCCTTTTGTTTAAATACCCTAAAGAAGTATCTTATTGGGAAATCCCTAATGCACAAAAAAGTTTCTTCTGTAGAAGACAGATATAAAAGTTGTGAAAAATCTATTTGTAGGGGGAAATATGCATATTGAAAATCATTAATTCATTTAGAGCATTACTGAATTTCTGGGCAAAGCTGTTCATTTTGCAGGTTTTATGATCCTTCTTAAGCTAAAAGCTTAAATGATCAAGCCCTTTGCTTTGTCAAGATCCATTATAAACTCAAGTGCCTTCAGTGGCCAGGCGGGTGGGTTAAATAGTCCCCAGGTGGGGGTGATGGGAAAATGGGGAACACCTGGGCTTCTGAACTGGGCCACTTCACTTCAGCGATGATGCCCTGAGTGAGTGGGGGCTAATATCATCAGAGCTTCTGATCTTTTAGAAGAAGCCAAAATGCTCGGTTTTTAAATGTATCTTCCGATATTCAATCTAAAAATTTAAAAACACAACACCGACCAAATCAAACATCCCTGTGAGCTGAGTACCATCTCCAGTTTAAAGTTTAAATGAAACTGGATCTGAGTTTGCAAAATCAGATTTTAAAATTTTGCTTTAATTTGGCCTTAATATAACTGCTTTAATTGATTAAAAATTGCCTGAACCCAACACGAAGGGTAAAATAATAAATGACGATTTGTCAAGTAGAAAAGAGGCATGCTGAATTAATTGCCAGTGGGCTCTATTACATTCCTTTAGAGCCAGAGACAATTTAACTGGGATAATGCTCAGAGAAGTTGTGACTTCATTTTCCTAGGCCATCAGGGCCTTGGGGATAACCAAGGGTTTTGGTGACAACAGTCGTGACTTTTGCCTCCTCCATTGTACCCATCTTGTCACCCTGTCAGGGAGATGACATCCCTTCTTCAACTGAAGTCAAGGAATTTGTCAAATGCCTTTTATGTGCCAGGAACTGTGTTAGGTGCTAAGGACACAAAGTTGAGTAAATCCATCTCTGTCTTCAAAGAATCCATAGCTTAGTGGGAGAGAAAGAAGCATAAGTAATTATAAAACAGTATACTATGTGTCATTAAATCGAAGAAGCTATCAGTGATAAGAGACACCGTTATTTTTTGTACCTCTAAGAAAAAATTAAATTATGGTATCCTTCCAATTTTAAGATGCATTCTGATTTCAGAGAGATTTAAATGTCATGTGCTATGGAAGTTGTGCTAAGGAGCAAAGAGAAGAGAGGATCTAACCCCACGCGTTTAAGGGTGAACTGGGGAGTCAGATTACTTTAAGCCATGTGATCCAGAGCAAGTCCCTCAACCTCACTTTTTCCCTCATCTGGAAAATGAAGTAATAACATTAGCTACCCCATAGAGCTGTGAAGATTAAATAAGGATTTCACATAAAATGCTCACCAGTGCTTTAGATCTAAGTAAGTGCTCAATAAAGGTTAGCTATTATTAGCAGAGGTAATTAATGACAGAACTTGAACTTAAAGAAAGAATACGTCTTTTCCAAGAGATAAGGGAGAAAATAGATTCCAGGGAGCAAGAACAGAATTCACAAAGACCTAGAGGCATTGTTCTGGAATATCTACTACAGCCTGTCTGCTGTGCTGTAGTAGGCAAGGTTTTGCCCTTGAGGAATTGTAAATCTTTTTGACACCCTCTTCTTTCTCTTGCTCCTTCCTCCCCTCCCCTCCGATCCCAACACACCCACAAAGGCAGCTTGCTTCTTTCAGCTTTATACTCAGAAACATGCACCTGGCCCTGTATTCAATCATGAACTCAGCTCCTCAGAGCAATGACACTAGTTACTTGTCTTCCATTTCCCTCCTCACTCCCCGATCTCACCCTCTTGTCGTTGGGGGCAGCCTTTGTCTGACATCCTTTGTTTAAGAGGATTAATTGCTATCCCCCAGTGCCTGACAGTTTCTTTCAGGGGACTTCATGCAAATTAGGCTCCAGGTGGCCTGTCCTGATTTCCCAGAGGTCCCCAAGGGGTAACACCCTATTAGGACATTCACTACGAATAACATTTAGTGAGCCTCACCCCTTTGAGGTTTGGAGAAGTCATTGGACTTGCACTAAAGTACCCATATAATCACAGAGCTGACCCTGTTCAGTGTTTAGCTATGTTATGCTGCATCATCATTCAAAATGTTTTTCCACCTAAAAGATATTCCTTCTCAGTATTATTTCTATTAACGCAGTGCCCCCGTTTTAGAAGGCAACTAGTATCTTGAGTAAGAAACCTATCCAGTCTTTGAATTTGAGTTCATCCATCCATTTCTTCCTCTACACATATTTCCTGAGCACTTACCGAGGGTAGGGGACTCAGCTACAAGAAGAGGATTTGAGGTTGAATGAGGCCAACATGGTCCCTTCTCTCACAGACCTTACAGTTCAGCAAAGGAGGAAATTAAAATAATTCCAAGGCTAAGAGCAAAGACAGCTTAGGGAAAGCTTCTCTGAGGAAGTTCCTGCCAAGGAGAGGTCAAAATGATGGGGAGAATTAGCTAAGTAAAGGGATAGAGGGAAAGAGGTGCTAAAATGAGATGTGAAATACTTTGCAAAATGTGTAACAGCAGACATGTGTAAGACTGTGTGGTTATTAAAGATACATCCCTCCATAGTTCTCCAATCTCTGTCCCAGACAGTCCTTCCATCAACCTGCTTACTATTTCTGCTCCTTTCTCAGAACAACCCCTCTTTTATTCTGTCTTGTTTTATGAGTGTTTCTTATATTAAGTTATTGGTATACTCTTGGGTTTGTGCTGGAGACAAGAGCCTTTCTGGATGTAACAGTGACCTGATTATTATGTCAATTACCTGGGAACAGATCTTTCAGACCAGATCCGGGCGCTGAGAGGGATGCGTGGGGGTTGCCGAGTGGGATTTTGTTTCCCTTGGTCTTGATTCTGAAAGGCGAAATATGCATGAAAGTTAGGCAACTGGTGGTTATAACAGTACTTTTTAAAACTTTTTGATTGAGATCCATAGTAAGAAATATATTAAGATAGCAACTCAATACACACATCTTACCAAAACAGTAGTTTCTCAAAATTTGTGTTGTAGGAAAAATTACCCTTACTACATGTGATACAACGTGATATTTTATATTTTGGATTCTGATTAGTGTTTTCAGAGTGGCAATCCACTAATGGGTCACAAAATCAATTTAGAGGGTCATGATGAGCACCTTAAAAAATGAAATAGAAGCATCCATTCAGGGACAGGCTGGGAATAGTGAAGAAGATATCTGTACATTGTGGTCAGTCTTTGGAGTTAGAATTTACATATCTTGGATTTTCTAAGTCTCTGCTTCTTGAATTATTTGTACGTTGTAATACGAAACTCGATACAGATGAGTGGTTATGGCTGTGGGTTCTGGAGTACAGGTTCAAATCTTGACTCCACTACTCAGAGGCTGTGTGACATGGGACATGTGACTTAGTCTCCTGCATCCTGCTTTCCTGGAGTGTAAAATGGAGATGACAACAGCACTTACCTCAACCAGCTGCAAGGATTTAATGAGATGATGCAGTGCCTGGCACAAATAAACACTTAATAAATATTAGCCATTATATTTCGATCTCTTTTATTTTCCCCCAGTGTTAAGGTTTAGCTTTTTTCAGCTTGCTAAGTAGAACTGAGGGAAGAGTTATGCACATGGAAGTAGAAGGCTCTGGAAGCCAGATTGCTTAGGGTAGCAGATATCAAAGTGAAAGAAATACAAGGAGAAACTGAAATCCCAAGGGTCCGAATGGAGGTCCTCAGTCCTTCCAGAGCTAACTCTTGAAGGTCCAGGGTTTTATTTTCTTAAAGAAAGCAGTTCCGCTTAGAGTTCTTCTCTCTAATATCAACACACTTTTGACCCTAGCTCCTGGCTTTTCATGTAGATCAGATTCCAATTTGTTACAGAAACTTGACTAAAGCTGATTGTATATTTCCCCACAAATTTCTACTTGACATTCCCTGGGGTTCCTCTTCTTGTTTAGGTACCCTTTCTGCTTGTCAATCTCTTGTTGGCCAAGTTCCTTCCTTCCTGAATCTAGCAATATATGAGGTTTTTTAAAAAAAATTTAGGTATCAAGAAAAAAATACTGAATAATAAGATGAGAATAAAAGAATGTATTTTATCACACCATTTTGTGGCAGCAAAACTATTCTATACTAAAAACATTTAATGCGTTTGATGCATACTCCTTAACCATTTCCACTCCAAAAAATGACAGATGACATTCATCCGTGGGACACTCCCATATGTGTACCCAGAATATCTTTAAAAAAGAATTCCAATTTTTCAGATAACATACATAAAACACTTTATAACATGTAAATAATGAAATTAACAATTTAAAGTTTTCTTAAAATTATTGTTTTGTAAGGAAAAATATAAATACAGTAGTCCTCTCTTATCCTCGGAGGATATGTTCCAAGACCCCCAGGGAATGCCTGAAACTGTGGATATTACCAAACTCTATATATACTATGTTTTCTCCTATGCAAATACCTCTGATAAAGTTTAATTTACAAATTATGTAAAGAGATTAACAATACCTAATAATAAAATAGAACAATTATAACAACATAGTGTAATAAAAGTTACTATAATCTCAGCAACCTCAGTGTACAATTTTCTTTATTAAGTAGAGAACTTTCACCTTTCCATTTAAAAGAAGTACTTCATGGCTTCTCTTTGGCATACCCAAATTGCCAGCATCACTATTCTTGCACTTTGGGGCTACGGCCCCAAGTAAAGTAAAATAATGGTTACTTGAACACAGGCACAGCAATACTGAGAGCTGCTAAGTGACCAATGGGTGGCTATGCTGGACAAAGGGAAGGAGCAGGACAGTGCGAGATATCATCTCCCTACTCAGAACAGCTCCAACTGAAAGCTTATGAATTATCTAATTCTGGAATTTTCCATTTAATATTTTTGAACTGTGGTTGACTTCAGATAACCAAAACCGTGGAAAGTGAAAACATGGAAAACGGGGGACGATTGTATCGTTATTTTAAAAACATGCAGCACTTTAGAAAAGTGCTAATTTTTCTATAACTCTGTTCCAGAGAATGAAAACCTTATCACAGTTAAAATTACGTACAGACTTTACAAATTTCTTACATTACTTGATAATGATCTTTAAAACCTTGTATGGTGCCATAGTAAGATAAAATGTAAAAATATTACCCCAATCAGAAATTATTCAAAACTTAAGTAGACATTTCCTGAATGATACAGGTGTTTATTTTTAACCTGCTCAGATGTCAAGAGTTAAAGGCTAACATTCCCCGTCATCACTCTTTCCTATGAAAATACTACAATATTTTCAATGAGTGTGTAAACAAACCATTGTTTCAGGCTTTATTTACACTGGAGCTGCCTGGCAAAATGCCACGACTGACCTAGCCATTTGTCACGATTCCAAGTAAGTTTTTAACACTAATCCTTGCTATTTTCAATACTTCCTCCTTAGGGTCTATTTCCAAGGCCTGTTTTTCCCATTCTTTATTTTTTTCCCCCAAGACAGATTTTTCTGAGCTACTCTTTAGGATAACATTTACTTTTTTTCTGCTTATAAGGTAATACAAGGATCCTACAAGACAGAAATAATCTAATACACTGTCAGTTCCTCGAGCCTTCATCTTTCTTTCCACTGAGCCATCTTTTAACCAGAGCTCTTCTGGTCCTAAGAGCGCAGAAGAACCGAGACCGGAGTCGGGCACAGGAAGGGGTCGTCACGTGAGCGGGGGCGGCGGCAAGTTGGCTCCAGAGAAGAAGCGTACCTATCTGCTTATACAGATCGCCGTTTGTTAAATTTGACAGACGTGAACGGTAGTCTGTAAGCAGCTTCATTGAGCCCAAACGGGAAATCCAGTAGGAAGGGGAGAGGCTACACTCTCAACAGAAAGGGCTGGAGGCGGCGCCGGGACAGGGCGGGGCAGGTGGCACCCAGCCGAGTCCCGAGCGGGAGCCGGAAGGGCGGGCTCGAGGGGGCGGGGCCGAGCCGGGGCAGCTCCGCGCGGGGCGGGGCCGGGTCGGAGCGAGGGCTCGTGGGAGAGGGGGCTCCTCCCGACCGACGACCCGCCGGCACCTGATGGGGAACAAACGGCTGATTCCACACGTGGAGAACTTTTAACGAACACGTGAGGGAAGGCAGGCAATGTCTGTGGAGAATCTACCTCACAACTCTGGCGTCCCACTCCGACCACCTGGGCGACAGCCTGTTTGCTGTGTTCCCGGGGGTCTTCGTCCCCTTCTATTGAACCCCCGCCACACGCTTTAAACGAAGCTCCAGCAAAGCAGCCCCCGCCCGAAGCGTCCCGGCCTGCGAAGCCCGCCAGGCGGCGGCCGCGCTTTCCGCGCCTGCGCCCAGCGCCCCACGGCGGGGGCGGGGCCGCTGAGCAAAGGGGCGTCTCTCCCGCCGGCGCGCTGGGGCGGAGCCGTGGGGCCGAGTGGTCCGCGCCCTGCGGCCTGACCTCCCGGAACGCCGGGGCCCGTGACGTCACCTCGCCGTGACGCGCACGCTGTAGGAAAACTGTAAGTTTCGGAGGATTCCTGCAGCCCACTGGGCCTGCGGCGCTCGCCCTGCTGCCGGCGGTCCCCAGCTGGTAGTGGCTGTGGGGCGTCGGACCCTTGCTTGGTCCGCGGAGCCGCCAAAGGTGGGGAGGGGACAGGTGCCCGCCCGGGCGCGAGCGCGCCCTCTGCGGCGGGAGGGGCCCGGCGTGCGAGGCGGTGGGGCCGCGCCCCGCACGGGCCCGCGCCTTCTCCCCTGGGAGCCGGCGGGCGAGGCCGGCCGCGCAAGGTCCAAATGGGGAAGCCTGGTTTTTCCTTCCTGATGAAGGGACTTAGCTTCCCCAGCCCCAGAGTTTGACACGTTAAGTCGAGGATGGAGGATTCTCTCCAAGACTCCATATCCGGGCTTCCTTTGGGGTCCCGCAAGTGACCAGATCGCTGAGGACAACTTGTAAAGATAACCACTTGCTGCCTCAGTTTCCTTTTTGTGTAAAAGGGAGGTAAAGCCGCTGTTGGCCTCCCTGTTATTCCCACGGGACCGGGAACATTGTGAGAGCACGTGAGGTGACACAAGCATGGAAATTTGCTACGAGGAAACTTAGTCGGTATTCTGAGAATGTGGTGGCCAGTGGCCATTGACAAAGGTTTTGTAGGGAGGGATGTTTTTCCCGATTTTGCCTTCTCACCCCTTCTCCCCATCCCCCATCTCATCATGGACAGCGCGCTTGAGCCTGATGGGCATCTGACCTCTTGTCAATGAACTTGGTGGAACAGGGATCAAGAAATAACTGGTGACGTTATCACAATGTTCTTAGCAATTACAGGCCCCCTCGTGTGGGTTTTGCTGAGAAAACTTTTAGCGTGCTGGAACTAGAACATAAAACTCAACAGAGATACACTGAGTTTTAGGGATTGTGGGCGCGTCAGCTTGGATATTCGATCATCAGTCTGACTGCTTGGATTTCTTGGCCTGCCAGGGGTTAGTACATTATTGATGATTAGTGCTGTATTAGAATACTTCTTAAATTCAGGGACAAGTACTTGTCAGAAACTTTGAAGGGAACAATGTTGTGCACACCCCAGGGTGTATTTATACGGGAGATTGAGAGAGCACATTTCTGTAAATTCATTTCGGGGGCGTAATACCCTTCCTTCCTAGGTTGAGGCACCTTAGAGTCAGAAAGCAGGGATTCTAATTTTTGTTCCACTTGTTAGTAGCTTTGTGTCCGAAGACAAGTCACCCAAACTTGGAACTTACTTTCTCCGTCTCAAATGGGAGATGATGATATATCTGCTGTTGCTTTTTCAAGGATCAAGTGAGATCATGGGTGAAAATGGAAGGCTGTCTATGGGATTGTTCTTGAGAAGTTAGTGTAGGTCCCCTGGCCTGGCTAAGAGGCGTGTGGGTTCAGAAGTCAGGTTCTGAGTCAGAACTAGAAGAGAAGAGCAAATAAGACACTTGTCTCCAGCCTAGTGGAGCTCATGTTCCTGTGGGGAAATAGGCGACAAAGAATGAGTAGGTGGTATCATTTCAGATAGTGATGAGCTCGGTGAAGTGGAGGAAGGTAGGAGACTGACAGTGGGGCAACAGGGCAGGTGGGCTTGGATAGGGTCCCCCAGGGAGGGCCTTCCTAAGGAGCTGACACCTGAATCGGTTGAAGTGAGAGGAAGAGCCTGCGGCGAGAACATTTCAGGCAGGAATAGTAACAGCAGTAAACATTAGTGGAGCTTCCTGTGTGTGATGCACTCTTCTAAACACTAAATTGCATTTTTACAGCCACCCTAGGAGGTAAGTATAAAGTCTCCATTTTTATTGATGAGGAAACTGACACACGGAAAGGTTAAGAATTTGCTCAAGGTTGCACAGCTAAAACGTGGTAGAGACAGTATTTGAATTTGGGCAGTCTGACTTCAGTCAGTGCCCCCAAAGGACAACACGGTACCGCCTCGCAGCAGGAGCAGCACGAAGCAATGCTTTGAGGTGGAGACAAGCCTGAGGTGGACAAGGCATCGCAGGGTGAGAGTGTCTAGAACACAGCGAGGAAGGGGGAGAGTGGTGGCGCGTGATGTCGGGGGGCCAGGCAGACGTGGGGGCCCTTGTAGGCTGTGGTGTAAGATGCTATTCTACATATTCTGAAGGTTTACACCAGGGGAACAGCATGTGATTTCAGTTTTATTGGATGAAGAATTGTAGGGTCATGACGTGGGGTGTATTGAAAATGGGGAGCTGGAAGGCTGTTGCTGTTCCCTGGGGGAGCAATGGAGGGTCTTGAGCTAACGGGGGTAGTTATAGAGATGATAGTGAGTGGTGGAATTCATGATATACTTTTGATGGTAGAGCTGCTGGTGTGGCCTTACGAATGTGGAATGTGAGGAAAAGGGAGAAGTGATGACTTCTTAGGTTTTGGGCTGGAACAACTGGGAGAATAGTGGTGCTGTTTACTGAGAAGGGAGAGAGAGGTTTGGGAAGAAAATCACAAATTCTGTCATGGACAAGGTTTAGATGCCTGTTAAAGTAACAGAAGTGATAGTGCTAGTAATGATAGTAAGCACTATGTGAGCATAAGCTGTGTGCCAGGCAGGGTTTTAGGCACTTTTGCATATATTAATTCATCTAATCCATATAACAGTTGCATATGCTAGGAACTGTTATGGTCCCCATTTCACAAATGAGACAACGGAGGCACAGAGAAGTTAAAAGTGACTTACCTGAAGTCCTCCAACTTGTGAGTGGGCTTCAGACTCAAGCAGTCTGGCTTTGGAGTCCATGCATTAGTCCCTGTAACTACTTCCAAGTGGACTTGTTGAGTAGGCAGTTGGATAGGTGAATATGAAACTCAGGGGAATGGTCAGGGCTGGAGAGACACGTTCATAGTTCTGAAGAGAAAGCCTGCTTTTGTTCCTCATCTAAGCCTTGGTTGGCAGTGGGAGAAAATAACATAGGCAGTGGGGCTGTGCTAACTGGCCTTCCATTTCTTGACTCTGTTCACTCAGCCAATATTCAGTATCTCCCCTTCCATGAGGTTCCATGAGGATGAAGTCTGTATGTCTTTTATTTCTCTATATCTTGTCCCTAATCCAGTGCCTGCTGTGTAGTGGATGTTAGGGATGACTTTATATGCAGGACATTTGGTTAGGTTTTGGGAGTTCAGAGATGAATAAAACATAGTGCTCTTCCTGGAGGAGCAGAGTATGAGGAAGAACCTGTGGGAATAAAAGCATAGTAGACTGAGTGCATAAATGCATGCTGATTAGTTCCTTCTGGCCTCCTGCAGCCCCCTGCACCCATATACTCGAGGGATGGGGCATGAAAGGGTGAAAGGAGCTAAAGAATGCCTAAGCAATTGCAGGCTGAATTTGAGGCTCCCTAAGAGTCCTTTTCAACAAAAGAATTACCCCAAATCTTGCATATTTTACTATATTTGCATTAGTTTTGTTTGGCAACGATAGAAGTTTTACCAAATGAAATATGTTTTGATGCTGGAATATCATTGTAGAGTGATGAGTTTTTCCAGTTCTATTACCTCAGTGTTGACAGGGCTCACTAGTGAAATAAGGGAGTTGGCTTGAATGTTGCAGCTTGCATAACAGAGTGATGGAGGGGCTGTGTGAAGTATTTCGGCAGGTTTCCACCAGTTGAAGTGTATCACGCCAAAGTTCCACATATTCGGATAAGTTTGAGTTTCCCTGCTGATCATCTCTTTGAGATACATTTTTTGTCATAGGGGATCTGACGAGATAGACATAGGTGGAATTATAGATTACATTTCTTATATGTGGAACATAGAAACTAGAACTATATACACAAAAGTAAGTGTCTTATTTCTGTAGATCGCTTTCAGGATGTACTACAACCTTAGCACATTTGTCACAATTTTATTACTTCCTATCATGAGTATTTCAAACTCGAACCATTAAAACATTATATAAAATTACACCATTGTAGATTTTATGGTTAATTTCTGAGTTTTTTTCTTACAATATATGAAATTATATATATATATATTTTTAAAGATTTTATTTTTCTCCTTTTTCTCCCCAAAGCCCCCCGGTACATAGTTGTATATTTCGTTGTGGGTCCTTCTAGTTGTGGCATGTGGGACGCTGCCTCAGCGTGGTCTGACGAGCAGTGCCATGTCCGCGCCCAGGATTCGAACCAACGAAACACTGGGCCGCCTGCAGCGGAGCGCGCGAACTTAACCACTCGGCCACGGGGCCAGCCCCTACAATATATGAAATTATATTTTATTTAGCTTTTTTAGCTTTCAGTGGGAGAGTTGATCTGAAGACCAAGTTCACTATAACTCTAAACAGGAACCCTCCACCAATATAAATGTAGAGATGAGCCATCCCATTTTGCAGTTCACAAATTTTAAATCTGCTCTTGTGGCATTCCTAAATTTAATGGAGTTGAAATGATTAATATTTCTTTATACTACAATTGCAGTTAGCTTCCTTAAGAACATTAGATATGGTAAAGTAGAATTGCATCTTAAATGGCCTGTTGATTGCTGGGGCTTTGTCACTTTTTTAAGTTCAGGCTTAGCAAGGCAGGTTGATGGTTCTTCAGTTGTGTCAGATAGCTCGCAGCAGAGCCAGAACGGTAAGACCTCCTGTTTAAAGACAACAGAAGCCACTCTTTCTAACACTGACCAGATGAAATATAGCATCCTATATAACTTATAAAATCCAAATTCCTTTTAAAATTTGTATTTACATAAGCAAATTTAAAAACTACTTTATGTTAAGAGTACAAATGTAAATATATGGAAATTGTTTCTTGTGGAAAACCATGTGTCTAGCCCAGTGATGGAATGTAGTGGGCATTAAATATAATTCTTAAAATTCTGCTTCTTGTAGTTTCTTTTATTTTTGCATATTACTTTCAACTTATATCTATATATGTATATATATATACATGCATATATACACACATCATATATTAGTAATAACTGAATATTAGTTTGTGTACTTTTACTTAACATTGTAAATGTTTGAATATATTTAAATAGATATGTAGCACTTAATTTTGATTCATTTCAGATTAGTTGCTTAGAAATTAAAATCATGAGGCTTGATTTTTTTTTTCCCCCACATAAAAACTAATGAGTAATAATTAGTAAGTCTGGGTGGAGACTAACCTTTAGTGATAAGTTAACCAAGTTGTCGCCCCAGAGGAACACCCAAGAAGAAAATTCTTAGAGAAGCTTAAGCAAGAACAGCATGTTGGTGGAAAGGGTGATTTAACCATAACTCCCCACCATACCTATAATTCTTCTTAAGATATTGCTGTCCTATAGGCAGCGTTCTATTTGCAAA